TTACACTATAATTCTAAGATACACATAATATTTTTGAAAGATTTCTTAGCCCACGTCCCACCGCCTATATCCCTCTACAGCCAGAAATGTGTTGTTTTTATTACTTTAATTTTTTCGCCAACTTTTATCTGATTAAAAAATATGAAAACTGACAAAATAATTTACATTATCAACAAAACAGTTTTGATATTTTCTCAACGCCAAATTCAAAGGCAAGGTTAAAAAAATTGTTACTGTCTTAGAACCCTGGAACAGGCTTGAAACAAATCTCAAACGTTCTTCTTAAACCAGAATCCGTGATTTTTTCACATTATTTCGATTGCTGAGCTGTTAAAAAAATAAACAAATTTTTAGCATCTTTAAATCACATACACTTTTAAGATGGCTGCAACAGTTCTGTACCTTTTTTGAGCATTTATTAAACATTTGTAATGAAAATTGTTCACTTCTCAAAAAAACAAACAATGATACTTTTTTCATAATGGTACCGACATTATTATTAAAACAAATTCGCTTTTGTAATAAAAGAAAAATTAATAACATTGAATATAGCAGGGGAATATATGTGCTGTATGAATGTACATCAGAATATATTCAGTGGAGATAACATGTTCCCTTTTTTCTAAGTGAACATTTCGAATGAAATATCATGCATTAGTTACAATATACAACCTGGACACTAATTCCTTTCTAGAAAATAATATATCGCTCCTGTGCTACAAATTCCAACACTAGGCATCTTAAAAAAAGTATCGGCCGAAGGCCATAATCGAAGAAGTCTCCCCTGAGGTGAACGTAGCGGACCCGGAATGGGGACCTGATGACACTCAGTCACGGATCAAAGCGCGTTGTATTCTACGTAGGCTGGCAAGAGAGCCAAGACTGCATTACGATACTTCCAGACAATGGACAATGCAGGTAATGAAAAATGTATGAAGCAAACAATTGAAAATTATTGATTTTTGAAAGGACAAATAAAGTTATTGAAATTTTCAATTCCTGCTGTTAATGTTTTTTTTTGTGTGAATTTTAATATTAATAAAATGAATAATTGTGGAGAAATTCTTTTTAATTTTGACATCCTCGGATGTAGTGAACCAAAAATGTCAGTCCCCAGAAATTCACTAAACCCGGAGGCCACTTTTTCTTTCATAATAATGGAAAAACACACTTACAAAATATAACGTAATAAAGAGTTTTACTCAACGTCATTCGTATATTTTCATTTTCTTTTTCAAAAATAGTAAACGCGCAGCGTTTGGTCTCTTAACACACTCATGTTTACGCTAGAACTGCGAGATCACAGAAAAGTTAGTTACTCCACTCGGTGACTTTTTTGATTACGTAAGTTTCGCAACGTTGACAAATTTCTTCTTTTGAAGATCCGTTAAAAAAATCGTTTTACATGAACAACGGCCTAAAGTTTTCCGTTTGCCCCCATAGATTACAAGTAGTAATGCTGGACAACACATGATTTTTATCTCATCATGGACCCACGAAATGTTGTTTCGTGAGAAGCGTTTATTTTTCGGAATTTAAAATGTTAAAAACGCTAGGAAATTTGTAATGGAAATATTTTTTAAAATCATAATATGTGTATGTTCTTTGCAATTCTAAACTATGGTACGTTACAATAAAATATGCTTTCAAACTATTACATTAAATTTAAGGTATGGCAAGTATGGATGGCGCGAATAGTTAGAATTTAGTACAGCTTCCATTTTGTACGCTTTTTGCTAATATACTCATAAATACATATAAACAGATAAGAGAGATAATGCAGTATTAGATAATTTTTAACGCGACCGGAGAGATCCGTTACTAGTTGTGACGTAGTTCTAGGTAAAAGCGACCACTCGGCTGTGTGTCTATACGCCGCATAAAACTGAGTGTAAGAAAATTTACTGGTACCGTAAGGCTAACGTGGACTATTTACAAAAGTATTTAGTCGATAATTATTCCACGTGGGTGGGATTTGGCAGTACTGTAGAGGAAGTGTGGAATAATTTCAATAAAATCAATAGTAAGTTCATGGATCTCTATGTATCGTATAAAATCATAACAGGAATCTCGATCCAGAATACTATAATAATCGGATGTGAAAGTTAAAAAGCAAAGCAAGGCGGTCATTTGGGAAAAGAAATAAATAGTAATAAACATTATGAAAACTTAAAGAAACTATCGAGAAAACTATTGGAAGCAAAAGCATTTGCACAGGAGGGGTATTTGGAAACGATCCTTACTGATGAAAATAAAAGTTTGAGTAATATTTTTAAATTTTCGACGGCTTAAAGAAAATCGCGAAGAAATCCCATCATTAAGAAACGGGAGTAATGACTTAGACGAGAAACAAAAAGGAAATATATTTAGCCATTTCTTGCGTCAGTTTATATAGATAAAAGGAAAATCGCCCCAAACGAATACGAAGGAGAAAATTTTGTTCTTAACCCAACAGCACTTTGGAAAAGTATTGCCAAAATAGATAAATCAACAGAACCAGACGAAATTTCCGGGGAAATTTTCAAATTATGAGGGGAAGGTATTTTATCTCATCTATTGCGACTTTTCGGGATATCAATGAACAATTCATGTATTCCTCATATACCATAAATTTTGGAAATGTTCTTTCTATTCTTCCTCTTTTACAAAAGTTGGGTGGTACGCCTCCTCTTTCTCTTCTTTATTCAGAAATTTTAAAATATTGTACGCTGGCCACAGTCTTCCATGTATATTATGTTCTAAGTCTGAGACAAATTTATCCCACGATTGTTGTAGGGCTTATCGGACGACATGTATTGTATTCCCTTTTGTCTTTGGACTTACTTTGCAGGAATAGTAAGTAGCATTCTGCTTCTCTTTTATGATTGTTTCAATTTCTTCATTCCAGATTTTCAAAACTCATCTCTTGTACCTAAAGCTTCCAATGCAGCTTTTGCAACAAAATATTTAATATTACCATTCCTCGTCAATATTTTCATTCGTTATAATCTGCAACAAATACTGTTCTAATTTCGTTTCGTAGAAATTTTGAATTTTCTTATCTTTTAGCAAATGCACTTCGAACGTTTTAGAAGCACTACCATTAAACATTCCCATTTCATAGTTTTAACTTATCTTTCTGATAATCCTAATGTGCGTACTAGACGAAAATGGTCAGTACTCACGTGAAAACTCCTGTACCTGTGACCCACTGTACTATCTTTTGATTTACTAAGAAGTTGTTTATAATTGTTCTTAAGCCTCTGGTAGCTCACGTACATTTGTGGATGTCATCTTTCGGAAGAAACTGTTCGTTATTCTTAACGTTTTGAAGGTTGCAAAATATCTAAGCTCTCCATTTTTATTTTCTGCCTGTTCGCCTTCAGTCTCGTTACATTTTTTATTGGTTTGTGGCCTATTCTTGCACTGAAGTCGTCGTTTAAAATTAAGTAATCATTCGTATTTGTTTTGTCAATAACCTTCTGTATTTCTTTGTACAATTTGCTAGTTTCTGTTTTTCTTCCTTCTTTTGGTACATTCGCACCAATAATAGCTATATATCCCCTATTTATTTTAATTCTGATGGAAAGTATTCTTTCTGACACGAATGTATAACTGTGAATATTTTCCTCCATTTATAGTCAATTATAATGGCAATTCCTGCCGCTGCTCTTTTGGTCTGATCTTCTCCATGATATATAAGTGGTCGTCTATATCTTTTGAATCTAATAATTTATTTTTTGTTTTTGTTATAACCTTTGATGTTTGCTTTCTTTCTTTTTATTTTCTCCAGAAGTTCAACTATTTGTTGTTAAGGCCTCAACATTCCATGTTCCTATTAAGTGTTGTACCATTTCTTTCCAAGTTTGTCATCATGTTGGTCCGGCTTATTACAACTTTACTTGGGAGTAAGTTAATGTCAATTAAAAATATGGAGCCGTTGTTGAGAAAATTTCGACAATTTCCGAGGGGTCCTTGTAAAGTATCCCTATATTTTGAAGAAAGGTTTTTCAAAATCGCGGCGCCTCAACTGGAGCCAAATCGTCAAGGGAATATTCATTTAGGATAGGTTTAGGCGCTAGTGGTGTTCACAGGCTGACAAACAGACGGACGGGCTTTAAAAAACACTTTTTCAGAATCAGGGGACCCCAATAGTTGTAAGAAATATCGAAATCCCTATACTACGTATATTATTGCGCATATAAGTATATATACAGGAAAGTAAAAAGACTTGCGACATTTAACTAAATATTGTGGCGTTATATCAGTCGCCTTGTGACAAAATATCAGCCACGTGCATTTCATGCTCATGGACAGCGCTGGCGGGAAGAGGCGCCGGGCTGAACAATGGCAAACCTAGGGAGCGGAAGGGAAGGGGAGCCGTGTCGTGGGTGGCGACTTGTGAACCCCGTAGACCACTTGCGGCAAACTTGGGAACCCCGTAGACAGGCTAGCTGCGGAAACGCGTCGGCGGAAACAGCGAGATGACGCAGTTCCGCCAGCCGACCCAGAAGGTAATATAAACGGACCCCGGACCTAAACTCCTTCTTCTGATTCTTAGGCACGTCGGTAGCAAGTTGTGTGGGTTGTGCGCGGCGCTGCATTGCAAAGCATAGGCTACTGAGAGAGGAAACTGAAGCCGGCGTGCTACGTCGAGACGGGAGGTACGGCATACTCGCTTGTATGCTCACGTAGGCTACTGGTGCATCACACCGAATAAGATATCTAATTATCAGGCCAGCGGTGGTAGTAACCAGGAACATTCCTTCTAGTAACGGGTCAATATTGTTTATTGTAATTATTGTACATAGTATTCAGGTGTTTGAGCATTTTTTCAAATAAATAGTAAATTACAAACCGTTCATGTCTGTGATTTATTGCCCCGGCAAAGACGCCACAATATAAACGACCTCCGTTTTTGTGTTTATGATTTGTGGGTATGCTTTTTGCAGGCAGTCAAGCGACGAAAGGAATTCCTCCATTCTGACACTAATGGTTTGCACATGAACGGGATTGATAAGAAGTTCAAGATCACACCAAACGTTGCCCCCGAAGAAGCCGATGCAAACGCCATAAAAAAGCAGCACAATATACTGATAGACGCTCTTCTCCAGGAACATGGAAAGTCTTTGTCTTACGAGAGTGTATTAGATGAACTGCTGATATTCTTTTTGGCTGTAAGTCACTTTCCACTAAAAAAAAAGAAACGTGTATCTTCTAAATGTATACGATGCCAAACTATCACATTTTCGCCATTACTTCCAAAGGTTTCTACTCCATCCGATAAATCATGATAATAATAATAACAATAATAATTGAAATTAGCCTTTGTGAACCAGAGAGCATTAAATGCTAATTATGAACTATTCTATTGTGACAAGTCGATCAGAAAACATGGAACAAAATCCATTCCATAAGATTGTTGAACACTTGTTTTTCTTGTGATATATACATTACAAGAAGAACAAATGTACTATTATTAATAATATTTTTCAGGGTTTTGACACCACTGCTGTTGCTGTACAGTTTGCCTTTTACTATTTGGCCAAAAATCCTCACGTTCAGGTAAGTAATTTTAAATATATTTAATATGATTAGTCTTAAATCATCAAGATGAGTAATGAAATATTCGAACACTCAACAAAGTATTCTTAGCTCAACGCATATATAAAATTAAAAAAAAGAAAGATAATTTCTAAATTTTATTATTGTAAAAACACAAAATAAGAGTATACTTCATATTCCATTTTTAGGATTTTCGGCCTAACGTTTTCATCACTAGGTCATCAACTTAACTGTTTCACTTTCTAGAATTGCTAAAGTAATTTACTACAAAGAAAGTTTTCAAGTAGATTCAATTCAGGGATTTCTAAAAATATCCTTTTTGTGAAATGTATTACCCAATCATGTGCTGTACCAGGTGGGATGTGGACGTACCATTATTGACAATGGCGTATTTGAAAAGAGGGGTGTTTATTTACGAGTATTTATTTTGCCGGAGATGAGAAACTATGGAACAGACACACCGTATTAAATAAAAAAGGGAGGGGGTTTTATGGTGATGAACATTATATGAATATTAGGTTTTTAAAAAGAAAATCGAAAGGAACTATAATTTTTTAAACAAGCAATCTAACACCACGAGGCACATATCCTGATGTCAGTGTCAAAATAATTTGGAATAAAATAAAATCAAATACCGAAATAGTTCGGTGACGATAGTGTAACGGTTAGCGGATTGGACTGTTATATCCAAGTTTGCTGGTTCAAGCTCCATCGAAGATTTCCTGACCAAAGATCGAAAACCGATCCTCGATTTTTAGGGAAAAAATCATTCAAAGCAGCTGTCCCATGTTAGTAGATTCACTGCCTAAATAAAGCATCTGAGCTAAATCCAATCGCATATTTCGTCGCCCAAGAAATACCTCCTTTCTCCACTAGTTCGTAAAAGGAGCATAGCGAAATTTGATTGGTGAGGCGAAAGAGCAAACCTCATGGTCTGAGTCTCACCACTTAATATAAGGCATCAATGCAATTCTAATTAGTGGTGCTACAACAGAACATATTTTCTTGCGTTATTGGAAACAGCTATGTAATATTGAATTTTTGCATTTTATGCGCTTCTAACACCTCAGCTAGTTTTAGAAAACGTGCAATTCAACCTAAAAGCAGGCAACGCACTGTTGCCAACGCAGCGTTGTCAAAACTATGTGAATTCACTTGGCTAATAATATCACTTCAGTAATTAGAATATATGCAGTGGACATCAAAATAATTACGAAAATTCTGGCTGCTCACTTCTGAGTTGCGTTTTGACGTAAGATAGTAGTTTCGGAAGCGTTTATCTTTTTTTGAGTTAGTAATACTATTTTTTAGAGATCAGTTGATATTATAGCTATTAACACAACCAAGATGTTATGCGTTTATTACTGCTAATGCCAAAGTAATTGGACGAGGCAGTAATAACACTCGTAACATTTCGTGGTATGTTCTGAGTTTTATCGGTTACCATAATATCACAGTTTTTTCAGAAAATTTACGACATTACTGCGATATGAAAAACATGAACTCTGAATGCTCAATAATAGTTATTGTTGAATATTGCTTGCGATTTATCTATTTCAACCAATCACTTGTATACCGTGGCTCGAGGAAGATGGACGCTGAAAATTCGTCTTTACCTCAAGAAAGGTTGGAAGCAGCTGCGGAAGCCACGCGAGATTTAAGCCTAAAGAAAAATCTAAAGCACGATACGAGAAGGCATACGAAGAATATAAAACTTGGCAATTACAAAACCACGTAGCTGTGATTACAGAAGATGTAATTACGAAAATAATGCTAATTTACCAACTACTTTTTTTCAAACTGCACAATTAATAACATTATAATTAATAATGAACAACCCCCAAAATAATGCGTTTCTTTGATTACTATTTGTCTTGTAAATTACCATGTGATTTTTTCATAATAATGTTGACTTGCAATGAATGGGTAGTTGTTTATTTAGGTTACCAAGGATGTTAAAACCCGTTGCTACGGATTTTAAATTTCTTAACCTACAGGTAGGTACAAGGGCACTTAACAAACCTGTAGGGTTGAATGTTAACGAGGGTAAAGACGCATGTGACCTATAAAATGATATATAACATACCTCACTATGCATTCTGAGAAGTAATTTATAAAAAAAACTGCTTTGAAGTTCATCGCAAACAGAAGTACAGACTCTCGGCCTAGGAGTTACACCACCACCGGCTGACTTAGGGCCGGTTTCACCAACAGCCGAGTAAAGTTGAGAGTAGTTACCCGAGAGTAACCATTTACT